GGGGTGTCATTGTTTCTGGGCTTTCTCAGTGAATAGAGTCAGGGATTATATACATGCATATGTATATTATTATATGTACACAATAAAAACATACTCATACCTTTTTTTAGTTTTGAGACATAGTCTGATTCTGTCGCCAGACTGGAGTGCAGTGGCATCATCTCGGCTCACTGCAACCTCCACCTCCCAGGTTCAAACAATTCTCCTGCCTCAGCCTCCTGAGTAGCTGGGACTACAGGCGTGCGCCACCATGTCCAGCTAATTTTTTGTGTTTTTAGTAGAGACGGGGGTTCACCATGTTGGCCAGAATGGTCCTGATCTCTTGACCTCGTGATCTGCCCGCCTTGGCCTCTCAATGCTGGGATTACAGGTGTGACCACCACACCCGGTCAAAACATACTCAATACTTTTCTTAAAAAACAAGAGTTTTACACTGTCATTCCAAGTCTAATCCAACACTATAGGATTCGTTCTACTTTTGTCCCATTCTAATTTGCAACTCTCTTCTCTCTGTGAAGAAAATGAATTTCATTATCTATAATATATTTACTTATTTGCCCAATTCCAGAATACACAGAAGTAGTTTTAGAATTGCTACCAAAAGGCATCCTCTACTGCAAAAAAAAAATCTAAAATGTAATCTTCATTTGCAGTTCATTTAGTCTTTCATCTGAGAGTATATACTGTAAAAACACTTGTATTCTGAAGTTGCTTGGATTGGGTTAGTCCCCCCACCAATACACCTGGTCTTCTGGGTGATTATATCATTCACTTGAAACTGTTAGGTTGATTTGTTTGCATTCCATTTTAGTATTTCTCCCCTCACCCCATTTGTGTGTGTGCATTTTCATGTGTGTTTTAGTATATAAACATTAACATAGTTCCAAAAAATAGAACCGTACAAAAAGAAATATTCAAGAAAAATGTCAGTCCTCATCCCCTCCACTCAGTCCCCAGCCTCCTCACTTCTTCCTCCTTATTTCCACCCACTTCCTGTAGGTAGCTAATCTCATTACTTTCCAGTTTATTCTTCCCAAATTTCTTTTTTGGTCAAAAAAGCAGTCGTGTGTGTTTTCTCACCTTTTTTTTTTTTTTTTTTTTTTTACACAAAAAGTAGCAACTACACTGTTTTGTACTCTACCTTTTTCACTAAATAATATAACCTAGAAATCATTCTATATTGGTTCACAGACATCTTCTTTATTCTCTTGCTGTCAAGAGTGCAGTGGCACAATCTCAGCTCACTGCAACTGTTGCCTCCTGGGTTCAAGCAATTCTCCTGCTTCAGACTCCCAAGTAGCTGGGATTACAGGCGTGTACCACCATGCCCAGCTAATTTTTGCATTTGTAGTAGAGATGGGTTTTTACCATGTTGGCCAGGCTGGAATTGAATTCCTGAATTCAGGTGATCCACCTGCCTTGGCCTCCTAAAGTGTTGGGATTACTAGTGTGAGCCACTGCACCTGGCCCCTCATTCTTTTTTAAAGATGTATAGTACTCTCTTACGTGTTTGTACTGTAGTTTATTCAACCACTCTTCTTCATAGGAGACATTTTTTTTCCTGAGCCTGCTTGCTAGAGAACCATATGGGAATTTAGATTGTTTCAATTATTTCCCAAATACAAACAATGCTGCAATACATAAACTTGTGCATATGTATTTTCGTATTGCCATAGGTGTATATTCAGAGTAAATACTTAGAATGCTTACTGAGCCAAAAGTAAACACATTTGAAGTTTTTTGGATACCTGTAATGTTTTAATACAGAGACTTAAAGTAGTTTTGCAATAATATTATTTGTCTATATAGGTGTTTTGTTTTAAATTTTGAGTCAACAGACTTTGTCTTTTACCCAGCACAATTATACCTTAACAAATATGTGCTGGTGATTATAAGCAATTGAATAACAGAATTATTCCTAAGTAGTATTAGATTTTATATTTATTTTTTATTTTGAGACAGAGTCTCGTTCTGTCATCCAGGCTGGAGTGCACTGGTACAATCTTGGCTCACTGCGATCTATAGCTCCTGGGATCAAGCGATTCCCCTGCCTCAGCCTCCCGAGTAGCTAGGATTACAGGCATGCATCACCACACCTGGCTAATTTTTGTATTTTTAAAGCTCATTATCACTGGTCATTAGAGAAATGCAAATCAAAACCACAAGGAGAAACCATCTCACACTGGTTAGAATGGTGATCATTAAAAAGTCGGGAAACAACAGATGCTGGAGAGGATGTGGAGAAACAGGAATAATTTTACACCATTGTTGGGAGTGTAAATTAGTTCAACCATTGTCGAAGGCACTGTGGTGACTCCTCAAGGATCTAGAGCTAGAAATGCCATTTGACCCAGCAATCCCATTACTGGGTATATACCCAAAGGATTATAAATCATTCTACTATAAAGACACATGCACATATATATTTACTGTGGCACTGTTCACAATAGCAAAGACTTGGAACCAACCCAAATGCCCATCAGTGATACACTGGATAAAGAAAATGTGGCACATATATACCATGGAATACTATGCAGCCATAAAAAAGGATGGGTTCATGTCCTTTGCAGGGACAAAGCTGGAAATCATCATTCTAAGCAAACTAACACAAGAACAGAAAACCAAACACTACATGTTCTCACTCATAAGTAGGGGTTGAACAATGAGAACACATGGTCACAGGAAGGGAAACATCACACATTGGGACCCATCAGGGAATGGGGAGCCAGGGGAAGGATAGCATTAGGAGAAATACCTAATGTAGATGATGGGAAGATGGATGCAGCAAACCACCATGGCACATGTATACCTATGTACCAAACCTGCACTTTCTACACATGTATCCCAGAACTTAAAGTATTTTTAAAAAAATAGTATTTTTAGTAGAGACAGGGTTTCGCCATGTTACCCAGCTCGTCTCAAACTCCTAAGCTCAAAGTGATCCACCTGCCTCGGCCTCTCAAAGTGCTCTTGGTAACTATGAGCTACTATGCCTGACCTTGTATTTATTTAATTAGTTTAGTTCCGAGAGTAATGCTGTACAAAAATAATGGAGGGAAGATCCCTTAGATATGAGAAACAATAAATACATAAGGATGGATCACATTCTGCCTGTGGGAATGATTGTGGATATATTTTTACATCTCTAAGAAGGACATATTTCCTCCCAGCAGAGTTGATGATCTGAAGTTGCTGGAAACATGATGAATAGTGAAGGGAGCAGGTCTGCCGGTGCTACAGGCCTGGTTAATTACACTGTAAATCATGCAAATACTGACATGTTGAACAAAAAGCTTCTGCAGACATCTTCTCCTTCTCACTAGAAGACAGTTCCTTAAAAAAATAGGCAGATTGGTAATTATCTCAAGCTGAGAATATACAAAATGCTGATATTAATCCCTAGAGATGCAGAGAAGCTTTAGGACTTTGAAGTCTGTAAGGCATTTTAAAAAATGCTTTACAAATATGATTTATAAATCATATACTCTTGATTAAGCATTTATTAGTAGGACAACCAAATCCCACTCCCCTTAGTCTACAATCAGTACTATAACATTATTCTAGAATTTTATTATTTGTGTCTTTCTTGGAGCCTTTCCTCGTATAGAGTCTAGGATTCACAAATAATTCTCTACGCCTTAGAAAGGTAAATGTTTCATTTGGAAATCTTTGTGAGATCTGGGCTTTCACAGATAGAGATCAAAGATAGGAATTCATCCTCTACTCCACTCCTGACCAATAATGTCAGCAAATCCTCCCTCGTCCCTTTGTCTCTTCCACAAGAAAAGCAAAAGAATATCACTATGGTGCACATACTGATATTTTACCACTTTCGTGTTACCATTTATACTGTGACCATTTGATTCACATGGCATCTTCCAGGTTGCTCCACTGTAAGTTTTCTATTTTTCTCTTTGTAATTAATAAATACCCTGTGGGACATACTTGGTGATTATGTAAATATCCTGTTTCTCAAATGTGGCAAAGAGTTTCACGAAGAGGCCACAAATTCACAATAGGGGCCCTCATTAGATTTCCTTAAATATGATATTATTTAAACCACCTCATGCCAAATAGCCTATACTTGAAGAAAACCAAGTTTCATTAACTGCTGCTTGTATCTTAGCATCAATAATATGAGGCAATGCAGCCTTCTTTAAAGAGTTCAAGCTTATAAATCACACAGATTGGGTTCAAAACCCAGTATGACCACTTACTACTTATATGATGTGAGAGGCAAGCTACTTAATGTCTCTAAGCCCTAGTTTCTTCCTCAGAAAAATAAGAACACTGTAATATCAACCTCGTAGAGCTGTTGTGAGTTCAATGAGCTCACACGATCTGAAAAGTATCCTGAACTGAATGTGGCACACAGCAGGCACTCAATAAATGGTAGCTATTAATAGACAATAATGGTGATATTATTTTGGTTAGTTTTGAACCCTGATGAAATTTTTTATAGATAGAGACTTTCTGCCATACTATACACTTATTCTATTGATCCAGCCTTAGGCCAGAGCTGATTTTAAAACAGAAAAGCAAATTCCTTGGTAAATTCTCTTTAGGAAATTAAACGGTAGGGTCTATGGACCCAGAGTTCATGCCAACTCTTCACTTCAATGTGGACTGTCCATTGGGAGGTTAATAAGTCCAGAGAGCCCTTTATTCCAAGACTGGAGTGCCACCGTGAGGTCAGCATTGGTCCTGGCACTATTTACTTCAATTCTGTCCTGATTAAAGGAATATTTGAGTAGTACACTTACATTGCATTGTAGCCTAAAGAGTACCTCTGTTGACTATTGGCGGCAAAAAAAAAGTACAAAAATGTAAGAATCTGGATTTCTTGAGTACGTGACTTGGATTTCTAAAGTATTAGACTATTGGTAAATCTTGAGAATTTGAAACTGAAAACTCAGCCCAGAGAAAGCAAGGTTTATGTCTCACTGTGGGAATGGCTTCTGGGTTTGTTATGCATACCAATCACCCTCTCCTCAACTTACTTTTTAAGTACAATTTCCATTTTATTTTTGTCCAGAGAATAGTCCATCTTCAGTCTTTAAGGACTCAGCTCCTTATATAGGTTTTGGTGGGGGTCGTTGGGCAGCACCTGCAGGTCTAAATCGGGGTGGGGGTGTTTGGTCCTTGCAGGCTTCACGAGACCAATTGCTGCCTACTTTGCTATGAATTGCACAACTCACACAGTAATGTGGCTTCACATACAGCTTGGGAAGCACATAGGCATCGAAGACGCACACTTCAGAAATATCCCTGACTGCTGTGGCCTCCACTATGTTTTGAACGACAAATTTCTTAATGGCTTTGTCCTTGGGCATGCATCAGGCACAGTTCATGCAGCAAATCGGCCGCACATGGCCACAGCCCTTTGTGGCATGACCGTTGTTCCTTCTTTCCTTTGTTGTCTTGGAGGCATGGACTGGAGAGAGGACAACTCACTTTTAAATTAAGATCCTAGCACTTTGAGAGGCCTAGGTGGGTGGATCACCTGAGGTAAGGAGTTCAAGACCAGCCTGGCCATCATGGTGAAACCCCATCTTTATAAAAAAAAAAAAAAAGGTTAAAAAAAAAGTTAAAGAAAAAAAAAAAGGATCCTGAAGTTGCAGATCAGAAGTGCCAAGCTCCCTTTGCAAAGAAATAATAATTCCTACTTCCAAATAACCATTAGGAGCTTCATTCAGGTGTCCCACAAAAATCTCAAACTCAATGTATTCAGAATTAAACTTACTATTAATATATAGTCCTCACGCAAACCTAGCCCTTCAGTATTCCCCCTTTCCGTGAAAAGGCTCACCCCTACTCAGTCACCTAAGTTTGAGACCTGGGAATTATTTTAGGTTTCTCCCTCTCCTGCTGTCCTCCCACATCCAATCACTTTACCTCCTTAATGTCCTTTAGATTTGCTCCTTTCTCCTTTCCCACAGTCACTGCCTTCTTCCTTCACTAACTACTAATTCAATATTGTCCTGGACTCCAAGACTCATCTCTCTTCCGTGTTGCTACTAAAGTGATGTTTTAAAATTAAAACTGCCAGGCACAGTGACTCATGCCTGTCATCCCAGCACTCTGGGAGGCCAAGGCAGGAGGACTGCTTGAGCCCAGGTGTTCAAGACCAGCCTAGGCAACATGGTGAAACCTCTACAGAAATCTAAAAATTCGCTGGGCATGGTGGCACATGCCGGTAGCCCCAGCTACTAGGGAGGCTGAGGTAGGAGGGTCACCTGAGCCTGGGGAGGGCAAGGCTGCACTGAGCTATGATTGTACCACTGCGTTCTAGCCTGGATAACATGATGATACCCTGTCTCTAAATAAATAAATATTAAATTAAAAACTGTGTATATAACTGGCTTAACATCCTTTAATGGCTCTCAGGGCCTACAAGATCAAGTTCAAAGTCAGTGTATAGAAAACGCCCTTCACAAGCTAGTACCTACCTGCCTGTCTAGCTCCATTTCTTGCTGCAACATCCACTTCCAGCTTTGTGGAGCCACTAGTAGTTCCCCAAACACAACAGGCTGTTTCATGCCTCTTTACATTTGTTGCTGCTCTTCTCTCTACTTAAATACTTTTACCTGTCTTGTCTAGCTGGTCAACATTTTATTTGTGAAGGCTATGCCAGCTTTATCTTCTCTACAAAGTCTTTTCTAACTTTCCACAAAGCCCACTCCACCCTGCCACCCTAGAGCAACTTACTCCCTCACTTCCTATAACTTATACTGCAGTGCCTAGAGAATTTCCTAGCTCTGTTTGAAAACAGTTCTCTGTCCCTAGCAAACTCGAAGCTACTTGAGACCAAGGACTGTGTCTAGTTCATTTTTGGATCCCTAAGCCTTAGTCCATTCCAGAAACACTGTAAAAACAACCACCAAGTTTATTGAACACTAAGTAAGGAGTGGAGGAGAAAAAGTTTTCAAAAACATGCTCTTAGGGCATAGAGTGATTGCTCTGTTCACAACAAGTTATCCCAGCTAGCTCCCACTGCAGTGTTATGCAGACTTTGTGTTCTCACTTGCTACAGCTGAGAAACCATGTGTGTCTACCAGTCAGACCATACTGGTTTTTAGAGGAATTCCAGTTATACAAAACCATGATTCAGTTTCCTCACCGCTTATGTTGACAATGCTTCTAAATGGTTTTGTTTTGTTTTTTCCCCAGGAGCAAATGGTCCTTTAATAAGTCAGCTGGACATTGTGAGGGTATGAAATGGTCTAAGTATGACAGTTCCTCTGTCTTCTTTCATCCAGTCAGCTAAAATTTATCACAAAGCACCAAGTAAAAGACATAAGGTCCATTCCAAAATTCATTAAGGTTGGCAGTTTCAGGGATCTTTGTCTATCTTATTTCACTTCATTAATTAGACTAGACTTACTGACTGCTTACTATGAAACAGACTCCATGGAAAGCAAAAAAAAAAAAAAAGAAGAAGATAAATGAGATGCAGGAACAGCCCTCAAAAATCTCAGACTCTGTGGACATATATGGAAACATTATTTCAATGCAATAGGAAGAGTTAAAATAGAGGTACTTAACAAAGTGGCTCGAGAACTCAAAGAAAGATGGACTATGTCAAGGAGGGGACATTCAGGGTAAGTTTCACACAGGAGAGGACATGTCAACTGAGTTTTGAAGAATGTAAGGAGTTCTCCAGAACTCCTTATGGAAGAGAGGACATTCCAAGAAGAAAGAGAAATAAGTACAAAGGTTCTGAGTTGGAAGCAAAGCCAAAATGAGATGAGAAAACTAAAGCTTAGAGAGGATAAATAAACTACCCAAGGCCACACAGATGGTTAAGTGATAGGACTGAGTTGAACACAAGCTGAAGCTGTTTATGGGAGGGAGTCATATTTCCTGAGAATGCTGAAGCAGGATAAAACATTGAGAACCACTGCTTAGGGCCTGATATACAAGTTATAGTTCAGACTACATTTGGTAGACAATGGGGAATCATGAGAGGGTTTTTGTTTTTGTTTTTTTCGAGATGGAGTCTCGCTCTGTAGCCCAGGCTGGAATGCAGTAGTGCAATCTGGGCTCACTGCAACCTCTGCCTCCAGGGTCCCAGTTCAAACATTTCTCCTACCTCAGCCTCCCAAGTAGCTGGGATTACAGGCATGAGCCACCATGCCCAGCTAATTTTTGTATTTTTTAGTAGAGAAGAGATTTCACCATGTTGGCCAGTCTGGTCTTGAATTCCTGACCTCATGATCCTCCCACCTCAGCGTCCCAAAGTGCTGGGATTACAGATGTGAGCCACTGCACCCAGCCTCATAAGAGGTTTTTAAGCAGAGAAGCAATATGGTTACATTTGGGCTTCAGAAATATAATTCCAGCAGATGGATTCTTAACATTGACTATAATTAGAATCACTTGAGAAGCTTTCAAAAATTACAGCGTAGGCCAGTCGTATTTGGGAGGCTGGGGCAGGCGGAACCCGAGGTCAGGAGATGGAGACCATCCGAGCTAACATGGTGAGATCCCGTCTCTACTAAAAATACAAAAAATTAGCTGGTTGTGGTGGCCTGGGCATTTAGTCCCAGCTACTCGGGAGGCTGAGGCAGGAGAATCGCTTGAACTCGGGAGGCGGAGGTTGCAGTGAGCAGAGATCGCACCACTGCACTCCAGCCTGGGCAACAGAGCGAGACTCCATCTCAAAAAAAAAAAAATGCAGGCTAGGGAACCAGTATAGAGCAATTAAAACACAATTTCTGGGAATGGGACTCAGTTTTCTTTTGTTATTTGTTTTGAGGCAAGGTTCTTGCCCAAGCTGGAGTGTAGTGGTGTGATAATGGCTTACTGCAGCCTTGACCTTCCAGGCTAAATGATGCTCCCAGCTCTGCCTCCCTAGTAGCTGGGACTACAGGTGCACCACCACACTTGGCTAGTTCTTAAAAAATATTTTGTAGAGATGGAATCTCCCTATGTTGCCCAGGCTAGTATTAAATTCCTGGCCTGACATGATCCTCCTGCCTCAGCCTCCCAAAATGCTGGGATTATAGGTGTGAGCCACTGCACTTGGTCTCTTGTTTTTTAAGTTCTTCAGAAGATTCTAATGTATGGTGAGGGTCAAGAACTATTTCTCTAGGAGAAAGAACTGAAAGATGGAAAAAACTAATATTAAGAATCTACTGTGTCTGAGATTTTGTTCCAAACGCCTTATACAATAACTACAGTATCTATATACATATTAGGATTTTATACATATCTAGTATCCTGACCCATCTCAACCATTTTGAGCCCTGTGTGATTAAAAATTATGCTACTCCTAACCTCAAGGTAGATATTATAATCCTATAATCCCTAAAATTTTTTGTAATTTTACCAACAAGGAGACTGAGCCACAGACCAGTGAAATAACTCATTCAAGATTATCAAATTACTAAATGACACAATTGGACTCAAACATAAGCCTTTCTGGTGCCCCAAACCCACACTCCTTCCGCTATATACCACTGCCTATGAGCCTAACTTAACTTCAGAACAATTCCAAAGTAGCTTTCATGATCCTCATTTTACAAATAAAGAAATTAGTCCCAGAAAGATTAATGTGAGCAAATCACAAATCACAGCTGGGAGAATTTAAACTCAGCCCTATTTAACTCCAAATCCATGCTCACGAAGGTAAAGAATATAGTAAGTATTCAACATTCAATATAATTCCTCTTTCTTCTGAAAGGAAAGCAGCAAGTTGGGTTGTTAGCGTAACATAGAGTATTATTCCTAGTGGCTTCCTCTTCCTTCTTGAGTTTTAGGCAGCTAAACTTCTATTGAACTATCAATCCAAGTCACTTTTTTGTTGTTGGAGTTGGGAAGGCAGAATTCTGTCATAACCTTCCATGATGCCAACCTGGGAAAACTCTAACCCTGGCCAAATCCAGCACTACGTACTTCACACCCTTATTTAAGTAGCTGAATCATGCTAATTTGTCTCCTTTTAAATTAATTGCCCTGAACCTCAAATGGGCATTCATTGCCCAGAATTATTATTGCTTTTCTTCAGTAAGTTCATTTTCCCACTGTTAGAGAATATTATTTCCTGTCACTTCTCTCCCCAGCCCTCCAACATACCCTGATAAAATTCCATTCCACCCCCATTCCATAATCTCCCTTCTCTGTTGCATCAACAATTTATACCTTTCCACTGGGTCATCCGATACAGTTTACAAACATCTCCTAGCACTCGTATTTAAAAACATCAAAAACCAAAAGCAAAACCCTCCTTTGAATCCACATCTGGCTATAGCTACCACTCAACTTCTTTGCTACCCTGCTCAGCTAAATCTTGGAAGAGTTGGTTTCATCCATCTCCATTTCACCACCTTCACCAGTCATCTCTCTTCACCAATGTCCCTGAAATTGACATTATCAGGGGCCCGAGGGACCTCCACATTGCCAAATGCAGTGATCTTTTCTGTCTTCAGCCTCTCAACAGCCTTTGAAATAGCTGATCACTACCTTCTTGAAACTTCCTTCTGGTTTTCATGACACCACATTCCTGGTCTTCCTACCTCACTGGTTGCTTGCTACTTCACTTGCTTCTACTCAGACTCTTGTTTTACAGGTGTCTCCTCCTCCACCTGATCTCCAAGTATTAAAGCACTTGCTTAAGCCTCCCAAGTGGCTGGGACTAGAGGCATGTGTCACAATGCCTGGCTAAGGTTTTAATTTTTGGTAGAGATGGAGCTCTGCCATGTTGCCCAGGCTGGCTTCAAACTTCTGAGCTGAAGTATTCTGTCCACCTTGGTCTCCCCAAGTGCTGGGATTACACATATGAGCCACTGCACCCGGCCGAAGATAAATTATTTTTATTGAGCAACAGACGAAGTATTTGGGGAATTCTTATTTTTAATAGGAATTGTGGTCTGTCCTGGGTCCCCTTCTCTTCTCTATTCACACATTTTTTCTAAGTGATCACATTCATGCTCATGCTTTTGGAGATGGGTTTGTTACCACTTACAAAGGGATTAGATTCTACATCAGATCATAAAGAAAAAAAAATCTCATAAAGTTGAATTTTTTTTTAATTCTCTAAGTCATCCATAAAGCATGGTAGTTGTCATTTTATACATGTTAATTTTATATATGTCTGTGGCCATATTTATGTGCCAAACTGACGAACAGCACACTAATAAGCCCCAACAATTAAGTTTTTCCTCATATGTTGAGAAGATTAATTTTATTTATTTATTTACTTTTGAGATAGGGTCTCACTCTGTCATTCAGGCAGTAACTCAGTGGCACTATTACAAGTCACTGCAGCCTCAACCTCCTGAGCTCAAGCAGTCTTCCTGCTTAAGCCTCCCAAGTGGCTGGGACTAGAGGCATGTGTCACAATGCCTGGCTAAGGTTTTAATTTTTGGTAGAGATGGAGCTCTGCCATGTTGCCCAGGCTGGCTTCAAACTTCTGAGCTGAAGTATTCTGTCCACCTTGGTCTCCCCAAGTGCTGGGATTACACATATGAGCCACTGCACCCGGCCGAAGATAAATTATTTTTATTGAGCAACAGACGAAGTATTTGGGGAATTCTTATTTTTAATAGGAATTGCGGTCCCACACTTGGGACAGCAAGGCCGCCAGCCCCGACTATAATGGGGAGTAAGGGACTGAACCCATCTGAGAAACAGCAGATTCACATCCCCCATCTCATGCTAACCTCACACTTGCTTTCCTTGATTGTAAGGAACTCACCCATACAATTTCCAGTATTTCTCATTCTCTTTGGTCAAATACATACTGAATTTTTATAGTTAAATGCTTACATGGTGTGACTGCTTTTACCATTAATATGTTGATGATTTCCAAATTAATTTCTCTAGCCTTAATTTTTGTTCCTGAGCTACAGATTCAGAACCAACTACCTATTTGGATGTCTCCAATTAAAGTCAACTAGATATCTTAACCTGCCTAAAACATAACAATTGATTCCACTCTCCATGACTCACTTGTACCAAAAGCCCTTCTTTCTTAGGCTTTCTTAGCTCAGTAAATGGCACACCATCTCCTCAGCCAAAAAACTAGGAGTGATCTTTGATTCTTCCCTTTCTCTCACTCTGCATAAAATCCGTCAGGAATGTTTATTTAGCTCTACCTCCAAAATACATCCCAAATCTATCCATTTATCTCTCTCAGCACAGATGCCAAGCTAGACAAGCTATGCTCATCATTCTACTTTGACTAATCTGTTTCCACTCTTAGCTTTTCTATGGTCCATTTTTCTAATAGCCAGTGTTATCCTTTATGAAACATCCACTCACTCAGTCACCAAACATTTATTGAAAGTGAACAGGAACTGGGGATACAACAGCAAAGCAAAGTATATCCCTGTGCTCAGGGACTTACATTCCAGAAGAGGGAGAAGCAGTAAATAATTTTGTACAAATGCAACAAATATAAAAAATTAAATGTGATAAACTAAATCATGTTCCTCTCTTCATAAAAATTTTCAAATAGTTTCCCAAGGTGGAAGTCCAAATTCCTTACCGTGACCTTGTTACAAGATTCTGAGATCTGGCTTCTGTTTGTCCTTCCAACCTTATGTGTCCTACTCGATCGCACTGCAACTTGGCTCCAGTCACACTGGCATTCTTTCTATTCTCTCAAGTTCCAAATGCTTTCCCTTCTTCAGTCACATTTCCCGTATCTGGAATGCTGTTTCCAGATCTTGGAAAGGTTGCTTCCTCTTAGCTCAAGTTAACACTTCAACAGAGTGAATTTCGCTAATTCAGCTCCCCCATCATTTCCTCTATCAATTACACCTTTTTGTTTCATAGCACTTATTACTTTACAGAAATTGTGCTTATTTGTTAACAGTATCTGTTGTCCCTACTAAAATGTAAGCGGGCCAGGCGCGGTGGCTCATTCCTGTAATCCCAGCACTTTGGGTTTACCTAGCCGAGGCGGGGGATCACGAGGTCAAGAAATCGAGACCATCCTGGTCAACATGGTGAAACCCAGTCTCTACTAAAAATACAAAAAATTAGCTGGGCATGGTGGTGCGTGCCTGTAATCCCAGCTACTCAGGAGGCTGAGGCAGGAGAATTGCCTGAACCCAGAAGGTGGAGGTTGCGGTGAGCCGACATCGCGCCATTGCACTCCAGCCTGGGTAACAAGAGCGAAACTCCGTCTGAAAAAAAAAAAAAAAAGTAAGCTTCGTGAGAAGAGGAATCTTAAGATGCTGTTTACTCAAGTGTCCCTCAAAGTCTAGAACAGTGCCCAATATAAGAGGATACTGATAAATATTTTTTCAAAGAATTTACACACGCCTATGGTCCCAGCAGTTTGGGAGATCGAGGTGGGAGGATCACTTGAGCCCGGGAGTTCGAGGCTGCGATTGCGCCACTGCGCTGCAGCCTGGGTGACAGAGCGAGACCTTGTTCCAAAAAAAAAAAAAGGATAAATAATGACGGAGTATATAATTAAAGGGCCTAGTCTCTCATCCAGCCAGGCTCCGCCTCCAGGAACCACTGACACTCGCGCCCTCTTCCGACGCTGCGTGGGGCACAGGAAGTAGTCTGCGCAGACGCCGTAGAACCGCGGAGCTTTCTGGGTAAAGATGGATGCCCACGATCTCTTTCGGCGGCTTTGCGCGGGGGCCAAATTCGACGTGAGACGCTTCTCGGCAGACGCAGCCCGATTCCAGGTACTGTACCCAAGGGACCGAGGCCGGACAAGGAGCAGGAATCCGTGAACGAACCCGCTGCTGGGGGAGGCCGGCGCACATGGACACCCGTGGCCTGGCTCTCACCATCCTTGGGGTATTTTCCTTCCTTTTGTGTTGAGCTTACCTGCACACCTGGTCCGTTCAAGCCTTCTGAATAAACTCTTTAACTATCCTGTTGTAGACTTAGTTGGGCCTGGCACGGAAACGCTCTTTCCTCCCTCTTATTCAAAGCAAAGTGGGAATCCTCCTTTCAAAAGGAACTTTTTCTCCGAACCTGGAAGAAAGGAATTTCGAAAATAGAAACAACCGAAAATGGAGAAAACGGATTCTCTCACTGTAGTCTCCCCAAGTCTGGTTTGGCTGCGTATAGTTGTACTGGGCATGGTTCTTTTTATTGCTTCAGCCCCACGGCTTTAGTAACGAATGAGAAGAGCGATTTAGAAATGGGGGATCTTACCTAGAGAAGTAGTGAGTGATGAATCAGGGGAAGTCAGTTGGGGCCCACTTGGGGAAAATCTTGAATGTCCACTTTGCTGTTTGGGCTAGGGACTTGCGTATGTGTGTGTGACATGTTTCTTCTTTCTCTAACTGGTGAGTATATACTCTGGAGCCAGATTATCTGGGTCTAAACGCTAAGTGTGCCAGTTACTAATTTTGAGAACTTCCTTAAGTTACTTAATTTCTGAATGCCTTGGTTTTCTCATCCGTAATACTGCTGTTTACCTTGTGGAGTTGTAAATATGAAGCAATTTAATATGTATAAACATGCTTAGAAATCTGCTTGACATTTAGTAAGCATGTATGTGTTCATTGCTAATGTTAATTTGTTACTATTATGAGGTCAGAGAAGGTCTCTTCAGGTTCCATTTGCCCAGACAAATACTTGGTGAAAGGGTAGAAAAGATGGAGAGTCACCGGACTCATGACTTTACTGCCAGTCTTGCTTGAATGAAAGCAGTGGTATTCTTGTCAGTAGGTTTCATTTTAAATTTTTTTGGTTTTAGATAGGAAAAAGGAAATATGACTTCAACTCTTTGGAGATGCTGCAGGAACTGGACTTTTTTGGAAACAAGAAGTCTGTCCCAGGTGTGTGTGGAACATCACAAGCACATCAGAAGCCCCAAAATGAAGAGGTAAAAAAAGAGAGCCTAACTGAAAGGAAGAGGGAGCAAAGCAAGAAAAAAAGGAAGACGATGACTTCAGGTTAGTGTTTGATTTCTGTTACTTTTTTCTCTTTAATTTTTTTCAATTATAAAAATAATACGGGTTTGTGGTTACAAGTCAGATAATAAGGTCATTTGTCAGTTAACGGCACTCAGGTTGTTTCCAGGTATTTGCCATTAGAAATATTGTTACATTAAAATAATTGTAAGTAAAGATATTTATACATAAATCCTTCTGTACAGGTACTGTTATTTCTGCAGAATGGCATCCCAAAAGTAGCATTATATGGTGAAAGGGTATGTACACTTTCTTTGAAAAGTGCTACAAAATGACTTCCTATGTTCTTGTCAGTGCTGGTGTTAATTTTTTTGCCAAGCTAATGAATGAAACTATTTTGTATTTATATTTTCTTGGTAACAGCAGAGGTCAAGCATATTTTTGTATGTTTTACTGGACATTAACATTTCACCTTTTGTGAATTGTTTGTTCTTACTCTTTGTCCATTTTCCACAGACTGGTGTGTGTGTGTGTGTGTGTGTGTGTGTGTGTGGGTTTTTTTGTCTTGGGGTTATTTGTCTTTTTTAAAAAAGGGTTATTTAGGGTTGTTTGTCTTTGTTAGGGTTATTTGTCTTTTTTTAAAAGAAAATCTATGATATTAACTTTCCTAGCTATTTACCTTTTTTTTTTTTTGTAAACACTTGGGTTATACAATGATGAAAAGTAACTTTCATTCCTACTGTTTATGTTCAGTCCCTTGTTTTCTCCGGAGGCAACCACTGTTAATTTATTTTGTATTTTTCTGGGTATACTCTATTCCCATGTATTTATGCCTCATTGGAAGAAAACAAGTAATTCTGTGTAGTATTTTATATACTTCATAAACAGGATTACTGCATATACACTGTTGGGAACCTCTCCTACTACCTTCCCCTTTTTTAAAAACAATGTATCTTGGAGGTTGTTTGAAATCAGTAGAAAGTAAATTGTCTTCTTCATTTTAACACATGTATCCCATTGTGTATTGCAAAATTGATTGAGCAAGTTTCTGTGCAATGGATATTTATAGTTTGTTTTCACCTTTTTGTTGTAGTTTTTCAGTGTCATTCAATTTATCTTTGCATGTATATCTGTCCCATAAATTCTTAGAAGTGGAATTGCAGAGTTAACCAATACATTTATCCACCAGAAACATTGCATCTGTAGAAAGTACTTTGCCTTGTTCATTGCAACACAGCTTAGTAGCCCATCATGCATTGTAGGGATGGTCCATGATTGATTTGACATGTTACTGTGTGATGGATTTAGCGCATTATTTGTATGCTTTTGCTATTAACAATGCTGCAGTAAAAGTCATTCTTTTTTCCTCGCTGCAGAGAAGTTTGATAAAACCTTTTACCAACATTAATTAAAAAAAAAAACATGCCACAAACTTAGGAAAAAGATTCAAATGTTGGGCCACCAGAAATATACATCTATACTTTAACCATTTTGGCAACAAATGTATTTAGGCCATAGATCTTTGATAAATGTGTAGTCATATATCTATTTTTAACTAGAAAATTGAAGAGCTTGTGAGTTAGTAATGATTTGGGTCTATTAGTATCAATTGTCTCATGAAGGGAACAAATTTTTTTAAAAAAAGTTATTCTACTTTGTGATGCTTTCCAGCAAGGTATGAGAAATTTCTCTTTTTGTAAATTTGTGTCTTCATGTACATTGTACCCTTATTGTACTACATTGTTCATCTGTTTCTTCTTAATTTATTAAACACTGTATATTGAGGAAATTAGCTCCATGTCTAGCATATTATGTTTACAAAAATGTTTCCAGATTGTCTTATGTCATTATTTATTTATTTACTTTTTGGCCTTCTGTGCATTACGTTTGTTTTTTAAAAATTCTAGGCTGGGTGCAGTGGCTCATGCCTATAACCCCAACACTTTGGGAGGTGAGGTGAGCAGATCACCTGAGGTCAAGAGTTTGAAACCAGCCTAGCCAACATGGTGAAACCTCGTCTCTACTAAAGTAAACTATCTGGACATGGTGGCAGCTGCCTGTAATCTCAGCTACTTGGAAGCCTGAGGCAGGAGAATCACTTGAACCTGGGGCGCGGAGGTTGCAGTGAGCCGAGATCATACCATTGCTCTCCAGTCTGGGCAACAAGAGCAAAACTCCATCTCAAAAAAAAAAAAAATTCTAGGCTGGGTGCAGTGGCTCACACCTGTAATCCCAACACTTTGGGGAGGCTGAGGTGGGCAGATCACCTGAGGTCAGGAGTTTGTAACCAGCCTGGCCAACATGGTGAAACCCCATCTCTACTAAAACCACAAAAAAATGAGCTAGACGTGTAATCTCAGCTACTCGGAAGGCTGAGGCAGGAGAATCACTTGAACACAGGAGGCAGAGGTTGCAGTGAACCAAGATTGCGCCACTGCATTTCAGACAGGTGACAGACCAAGACCCTGTCTCAAAATAAATAACTTCCATGTTTTCTTATTTGTGGTTTCTCTTTGACCCTATGGGATTTTATTTATAGGAAACTAGAATTTTTTTCAGATGTCTGAATAATTGTCTTAATACCATACATTGGCATTTTGTCTCATGTTGATGAATTGTTTTACTACCATATGTTGATAATCCATGTTTTCTCCACTGGATTTTAATACAACCTTAATTGTAAACTTAATTTCCATATGTATTCAAGTCTGTCTCTGGACCTCTTCTATTCTGTTTCTGAGATGTACACCAATACTAGCTTATTTTAATTTCTATGACCTTATATATTACAGAATCCAGTAGAGTGGTGAGGCATACCAATATTTTGGGCAACTCAATATTTTCTTCCCATGGTAATTTACAGAATCATTGCAATCCCAATTAGAATTCCAGCAGACTTTTTTTTAGAAATTTCTGCTAAAGCTTTGGCTAACTTTCTTCAAACATTCTCATAATAAGCAGATACTATTCTCTGGCCTTCCAGAAGGTCAACAAGTAAAATGCCTTGAGCATCCAAAAAAAACCTGTTGCCATTGCCTTTGCTCTTGATTGGTCCACTTTTGCTTTGACTGGACCACTTCCACCTTCTGGTAGCCATTGGTTTAAGTGTGCTTTGTCTTCATGATTAAACTGGTAAAACCATGTTTCATTTTCTGTTATAGTTCTTCAAAGAAATGCTTTAGGACCTTGATCCCACTTGTTTAAAATGTCTGTTGAAATCTCTGCTCTTGTCTGCAGCTGATTTTGGAGCAGTGGTTTTGGCACTCATCAAATGGAAAATTTGCTCAACTAATTTTTCATTAAGAATTTCTGGGGTGGTCTACGGCTGTACTACCCTGAACGTGCCCTGTCGTCTGATCTCAGAAGCTAAGCAGGGTCGGGCCTGGTTAGTTAGTACTTGGGTGGGAGACCACCTGGGAATACTGGGTGCTGTAGGCTTTAAAAAAAAAAGTAAGATGGCCGGGCACAGTGGCTCATGCCTGTAATCCCAGCACTTTGGGAGGCCGAGGCGGGTGGATCACAAGGTCAAGAGATGGAGACTATCCTGGTCAACGTGGTGAAACCCCATCTCTACCAAAAATACAAAAAAATTAGCTGGGCATGGTGGCACATGCCTGTAATCCCAGCTACTCAGGCGGCTGAGGCAGGAGAATTGCCCTGAACCCAGGAGCTACCTGGGAGGCTGAGGCGGGGGATTGCTTTAGCCCAGGAGTTTGACAGTGAGCTGTGATCATGCCTATGTACTCTAGCCTGGGTGACAGAACAAAAATACGTATATGGTGTAAGCCAAACCAGTTCAGGTGCCTGTGATGATATTGGCTGTTGTTTCTGCTGTTAATCAACAGTCCTTCAATTAGGACATGAACAGTTTTTTTCCTTATGAATTGATGTGGGTGATCTGCTGCTACAGACTTCATCTTCAATATTATCTTGTTCCTTCTTAAAACAGGTTTTCCATTTGTAAACAGCTGATCTCTCTGGGACATTGTCCCCGTAAACTTTTCGTAAAGTATCAGTGATTTTTTTCACCGTAAATTTGATGTTTGTTCTTGCTTCAGTTTTAAGCAGAGTTCATGTTGCTTTTTTCAAACTGCTGTCATTTCCTTCTTAGTGTCTCAGACTAGATCCAGTTCAGCCGTATTATAACAAGTTGGTATGAGTTTATTTCGGTGCAAAAAATTTTGAAGTTTTTGCATAGTTTTTTCATAATAATGGATTTTCCATGAACTTTTTGAAGATCCCCTTATTTATGGATTAGTGAAACAGAATAGCTAGTCCACAGACCCATGTATATATGGTCAGTTAGTTCTCAACAGAGGTAATAATGTAATTCAGTGGGGAAAGGAAAGTCTTTTTGACAAACGGTGCTGGATCCATGTGGAAAAAAGTGAACATCAAACCTATCTTTACATTGTAAGAAAAAATTAACTTCAAATGACTCAGACTGAAGTTTAAAATCTAAAACAAAGTTCTGGAAGAAAACATAAAAAAATCTTTGGGACCTTGAGATATGTAAAGTTTCCTTAGAACAACAACAACAAAAATTTTTTAAATAACTGATATATTGGGCTTATCAAACTAAAAATTTTCATTCTTCAAAAGATAACATTAAGAAAATTAAAAGGCAAGCAACAGATGG